GCAACAAACATTAAGCACTTCTCAGGAGTTTTTCTCTTTGTATTTATTTACAAATTCAATGTCAAGAAACAATAACAGTCTGTTTAGCGTGATTAGTAAAATAAAGCAAGGCTTAGTGTAGGTTACTTTATTTTGAATTTTTTGACAAACCAAATGTAAATTCGTCACTGACTCTTAACAGTACACTTGAAGCCAAATACTGTAACTCAAAAATTGTACTGTAATTCAGTATTTAAATTTTAAATTCAAATATAAATACTGAATGGGACTTATTGCGAATAATGTGATTATTTTTATTTAGTAGTACAACATTTATTGATAATAATTCAGTAATTTTAGAAATTTCAAATCATGTCAATTTCAGAATTTTTAAGTAACTAAAAAAAAATCAAAATCTATTTATTCCAGGGAAGTACTGCCACCTTACTTATTTCCGCAGCCGTTCCGGTTTTTCAAGGGTAAGGGTGCTGGTGAAATTACAGGCACATGGGACTTGTCAGCTTGTCTCAGAGTGACAGGCGCAGCGGCAGTGCCCCTCAGATCTTTGCGATTTAAAGTTCTCAGTGGCACTGCAACTGTTATGGACAAGCGTGTTGCTTACCACTAAACGCAAGATTACCACCAGACACACAACTTGTTGGTTCCGAAACTTGATATAATTAAAAAAAGTGGGTATTATTGTGCAGTGTGACAACTGCATGTTACATACTGAATTAGACGTACATAACTGGGTAGATAAATAGGTAGATATCAATAGAAAGGTAGTCAATTAAAATTCCAATCAGTATTGGTAGTTTTGTGATAGAACACTATGATAGGACAAGTTAATTAGTTTACATAGCTTTGGATATGCATAACTTTGTGGATAGATTGTATATATGATTATCCCCAATGTGTGATGAATAGACATAGGCTATGGGAACAGTCAGCAATGGAAGTAAGATATTCAAAATTTACCTTTCACGAGGCTTTCATACTGCATAACATGTGTAATTATTGATATTAATAAAAAAAAATAGCATCTAATACTTATATGTATACAATAAACACACGGTCAACTGTACTATACCTACACTCGAGTTGAGAGTTGAAATTAATATGGTGAATAGATTACATAGTTAGTAATGTAATCCTAAAATATTAACTATGGAAACTCGTAGTTTTGATAATAAAAATTAATGAAATATTTGTAAACAAATTATAGGAAACAGGTTTTGTAGGTTAGGAAAACACGGCGTTTGGTTATTGCAGCAACATTTTTTGAAATAACACAAATAAGTAACCATTTTCGTAAAAAAAATGAACGAACGCTTTTCGTAACGTTGTTTAGGTATATTCGATAGCCCTCTACGCAGAGTGGGCATGGAGGATGAGGAAACGGCCGTGCATATCGTACTACAATGCTCCGGCGCATGCTACGTTGGAGGGCCAAGTTTGCTCCTGGACGTCTTCAGCAGACTAGGAGAACGCTGAGATTCCTGGAGGAGCTTAAGTGGCACTGGTAGAACCCTGCACCCACCACAAAATACCTAAATATATAAAGTGTGGGCAAAATTTGACCTTGGCATACATTAATGACCTTAAAAAAAGTCAAGGCAACATTACCAAGAATAAATGGGCGTGTATGAAGACTGAATGATGCAACTGGAAGGAAGCGAAACAGGTATATCAGGTTCGCAGATCCATAGTCTCTGTCTACCTTAATGAAAGACATGCATCATGGTTTTCAAGAAAACTCAAAGTTCATTACACATTGATATAAGCTATAGCTAATGCTCATGTTTAATTTGTCAAGTAGCGTAATAGAGAGCAAGGACAATACATATACTTCCATTCATAACACCTATTCATTGCTTTATATACTTGATAAATATGCATGGAACTGCATATTTAGATATGTAGCACAAATATATGCAAATTATCATTGGTAGACAAGTACCAGTTGCATATTCGTCTCCATCTGTGGACATTAATGTCTTTAAACAGGCTATAGAGTGTAATCAATGTGTTTTATGTTTTCTATTTACAAATACAATGGACAGTTATTTAAAAAGTAATGGTTGTGTGTGCAATCAATAGCATGTAAACTTTATAATAACCACACAAACTCTTTGTAGACTTACGAGGTCTCCTGTTGGGTCATGTGGTGACAGACTGTGATGGTTCAGTGCATAGTTTACCAAATTGGTCCCTACTGCCCCACCCACAGTGGGCCTTGGAAGCAATTGAGAGTGTTAATGCTGTCCAAGGGGTGCTAGCACATTTGAAAAACAAAAACCTGAATATAAACTACACTACATATAACTTTTTTATAAGAAATATAAGTTTTCAATTATATGTTGTGGTGGTGAGTGTTCAAATTTTGTTTATCTTGCCTAAGTGGGTGGTGCGTCAAAAAGTTTGGGAACCTATGGTTTAGTGACTGGCTACACAATGAATAAGGCCCAATAAATTACACATGAATGAAGGAATTAAAAAATAATAATAATTACACCAAGATTTTAAAATGAGTACCTCAAGGTACCGTCCTAAGGCAACAAAAGGGTGAGAAGCCCCTTAGCCTACAATGGGGCATTATCGAAAATTGGGATAGGCTGAACATATTAACCTCACCTTCAAGTAATACATATAGAATGTATAATAATAATAAATTTAATAATAAAAAATAATCGGAAATCCCTGTATGCCTTAAAATAAAATGAAAACATCAAAACGAAAATAGTTACACAGTTTTACATAAATTTTACAAGACTTCTAAAGTCACTATTGTATTGCTAAGTTACATATATCAAAAATATCATAAATATAGAACAAATATCAATGCAACAATTTTAGAATTTCAGAGGAAGGTATCGTCCACTCTATTACTTCCTTAAAGTATATATGTACATTTTTTGCTTTTTAATCCCTTTTTCATCCTTTTTTTAATGTATGTATATTTATTATAGGTCCATTTTATTAAAGTAAACATAACACTAAAGTGTTATGTTTACTTTTAAATATGGAACTTATAATATACATAAAAAAGGATATATTTAAGTTAAAAAGCAGAAAATGGTATTTTGACTTTCAACCTTTAAGGTCTTCTGCACTTTATAGAGTATTTTAAACTTTGTTCTTCTACTGACATGTTCAAAAACTATTCCAGGATTAAAAATATCTTAATCAGCCTTTGTATTGAAATTTTGGCTCATAATATTTTTTTTTCTGCTTTAATTGTAGCACCAACCTTTTTTTTTCAGTTTGGCCCAATGGTCGACTGGTAGAGCATTATGGCATTAAGTTTGCCATTTGTACATTATTACATTGTGCAAAAAGATTAAATAAATAAGCAAAGTAAGTATTACTTTGATTCATATTTATCTTTAAGTTTTAATTTCCCATTGAATTTCACTTTCAGTGGTAAAATTAAACATGTGTTTAACTTCCTAAACTTATGACCTACTAACGACCTAGACCTGGCACTCTGTAAAACAGTGTCCCAGTGTGTTCTCACAAAGAGATTTTACTATCTTATCATAAACAGTATATGTTGCAACATTAATCATTCAAAGAACCTTTATAGTAGAGAAATAAATTATAGCTATTGTTTAAATTCAATTCCCATTTCAAATGGTCTGTGTATGTCACTTTCAAAATATTTTCCAGAGGCTTATTCTAGCAACAACAAGTTAACACTAAGTAATTATGAGTCATAGTCATAGTCCAACAAAGTTTACTTATCTTAACCTTGAAGAAGATTGTTTTACAAATACTAAATACACTGAGAGCTTAACAACTCTGTGTACAGACAAACTGTGTTAAAAGACATATTATCACAAAAGATACAATGTTACATTGTAGTTGTTTTATTTTTGAATTTACATAATGGAATAAACAATTTCATATAATTTAATGTTTATTGAAATAATGATAAGTAAATAACAATGTGTTATTCTAACGATATTGTGTATTCAGATGTTGATACCAAGATTGTTTGTTAAGAACTTGTACTTTGTCACGTTTTACGACCGATGTCTGAGGTAAAGTAGGCGTTTACATGCACTTTCGACGTAGAAATCACGACGAAATTTTGTGTATACGCATTACATACATGCTTGGGTTTTAAACACGTAAAATATCTCAAATACCTCATTAACTCAACTTCAGTAATACAACATTGTTAGTAAGTTCTTTGCTATTTAGTAAAAACACTAAGTTTTTACGAATAAAATTATTCGTTAGTGACGTTACATGCACGTAAGTCGAAACGGTCAAAATTGAAAGTAAGAAACGCGCGTTCAGCTTACCTCGCCGCTGCGAGCTGCAGGAGAATTTTCTTCGATTTCGTATATAATGTGTGGCAAACCGGCTTCGCCCAGCAAGGAGAATCCAAGTCCCAAATTGTCACTTCGATTCAGGACCACTAGTCTTTCGTCAGCCATATTCAGTGCACAGCAGCATTGAACACCATCCTTGCGAGGATATCACTAATTACACTTTAGAACCACATCAGGGACTACGTACACTGGCTTTTATTCAATTAAATTAATGGAAAATATTCATAATTACAGCCCACGAAAAAAGCAAGCGCACCCAACCAAAGCGAAGACAAGTACACACAGAGAAAAAATAAATTTGACTGAATGATTGATTGAAAAGGAATGTTAAGAATGAATGAAATTTGAAGGTTCGTTCACACTTTTCCCAAACTGAAAATTATGTATCGTGAATGGGTGATTTTCTTGTAGCTTTTTTACCTCACGATAGATGGAGCTTTTCGAATAGAATGGGCTGTGACACCGAAACATTCGTAGAATATACGCTAGATGTCGCTATTTACCGTCACATGTAAGGTTGTTTTCTCAATTTTTACTACAATTTTGACGTATGAAAAAGATGTATATATACTTTGCAACATCTTTGAGCATCGTTGTCTCTGTTTAATGCAATATTGGCGAAGAGCATATCAAGCAGCGAAAACATAAGTGTCACTTTGACATCAACACACGCGAGGTGCGGGCTGTTGTGTAATACTGTAAAGTAGAAAATAAATTAAATTATACTAACGTTCTGTTTGATTCTCCAAACATTAACTCAAAATGTACGTCTTATCAAACCTTGTTCGTGTTACTATTCCTAACTACTTAGCCGGTCTACCAATTCCCGACACATTCGGCGGTTGGTTCAAGCTCGGAGGTAAAAAAACTTTATACCTAAGCATTAGTCTCAGTGTAATTTGTTATAGAAAGTTTTTTCCTGTTGTGTGAGTGAACGTTTTTTCATAGAATTTTTTGAATTAAGACGTAAATTTGTGCAATTGAATTTTTGTTAGCGTAGTTAGAACTTTATTACTGTAACGTAATGTTTAGAGTTGATTAGCGCTAATGACAATGTGAACGCGGTCGTACTATGTTTCAATGACACACTTTCATAAATTTGTCTTTACTGTGGGATTTATCAAAAGTATAAATAAATCATTGGTCAGGTTTTTGCTTTGGGCGGGTAATTAGAGTTTGGCGAATTTATTTATATGAATGTATGTTCACTCAGTAGGTCAATTATTAGTGTTGATAGGTCTCCTTATTTGTGTTTAGACAACTGGTAAGACCCATGCAATGCAACCACTGTATGGAATATAAAACCTTGCTATTTCTCATTTGTTTGCCAGAATACTGGAATTATTCAGACTTAGATGCACAAAATTGTTAATCGAATTTACAGTTAATTGCTACAGATAATTGCATTTGAAATGAATTTCATTTAGTACAGTGGAGTTAATAATCTGAACTGACTGGAACCAGACCCTTTTCAGGTTATCAAATTTCTTTGATTAACTTATGTTAAAAAATAACATGTATTTACATAGTTTGTTTTATAAGGTCTGTCTAATTTTAAATTTTCGAGTAATTTTCTTAAATATACTTTATGTTAGTTAATATCACTGTGGTTTTAAAGTAACCCTAGTTATTTTTTACTTGTTAGGGATTAAATGGTTTTTTAATGCAGTGCAGTCCGGTAATCAGGACTCCACTGTATTTGTAAATTCTTTATTTATTACTATAGAAGCAAAATATGACATTGAGTTGCGGACACCAGGCTGTTATACCAAGTACTATAGCAAGCCATGTGTCGATTATGTATTGGAGTAGTATTTTTAATAATCACGTTGCCACTGTGTGGGAATTTACGATTAATGGTGTCCAATTGTTAGAGACACACGGTGTCCCTAATGACTTTGGCACTGTAGCATCATACACCCACATAGTGACTCAGCTGTCGTTTTTTACAATTTTTAATTTTTTTAAAATCATTTTCATCAAGGACACCAGATGTCTCAAGGACATGTGACAGATTAATAATATATTTAAAAAACAAATTATATAGTTGTAACTTTTTGGATGCCAGACTGCTGTGTGAGTGGATTTGTGATGGACAGTGTACATTTGTCTTGCGGATTAATTGAAAAATCATTAATTGAAAAAAAAAGCCTCTTGCATCTTTTGCCCTTTTATTTTCAATAACAATACATACTCGTAAATTAATAAGGTTGTGAATTTTTCAAACTAGTACATATTTTTGATCATAACATTTTAATTTAAATGTAATTTCTAAGAACATTTACAAAATTTTTTACAATTTTTTTCAGTAAAGGACTGGCTGGCCCTCATCCCTCCAACAGTAGTAATTGGAGGCATCTCATACTATACATACCAGACAGTGAAGAAAGCTACAGAGGATACTGGAATAGTTAACCCTAGCGTCAAGAAGCACATCCCTAAAGTTGTGGACTTCATTGATATTGAAGATATTACCGAGAAATCTTCTCTTTGTAGATGTTGGAGAAGCAAAAATGTAAGCATACATAAAACATCATTACTTAAAATGTATAAGGTTTCCATTTATGTATTATTTAATATTAAACAGGGTGGTTACCTCTTTATCGAGTTCTTAGGTTTTCATGATTGCTAAATCATTTTGTTGAAAAAACAAATGTGTTTTTTCATTTATATTTTTATTAAGTATTTCATTTCCAATTTTAGTTTCTTTTTTGTGGTGCGATATTACATCATGATTACTGATAATGCGAGGCGAGGCCTCCATTGGCGCGATGTTACTCTTAGAAACACATTGAAAGACATGCTTTGATTATTACGCTGTTATCTTGAATTTGTAACCCATTTCTGTTTATCAGTTAATATTATTTGATTTTTAAATCCTCCTTATCAGATAAGATGATTGTTTAAGCAAACAATTTAGAGAGATATATGTGTACATTTGAAGAATTCATCATTGCGCACTACAGCCAACATTTATATAGTACCTTACATATATCCGACTGAAAATCATGCTCTTTATCAGCTAACAGCTACTTAGAACAATAAATTGCATCAATTAATAAGAAACGGGTACTTTCACACTGTTTTTTGCATACATACATGTCTTGAATTGCTTTCTAAAGTTCATATTTAAAAATTTAAAACAGTTTTGTAACAAGCCTTCTTTACTGCACTGTGTTATAAATTGTAATTTAATTGTAATCACTAAGCAGTTTTATGTAACAAACATGAACACTCGAGATTGTGACGTAAATAAACAACCAACATTGACGTAACCTTTAAGTGTACTTGACGTATTTTTGTGTTCAAATTGTATTATAGAACTTAATAAAATAGCCGACATATGTCATGCAAAGCACATATTGACGAGATTTTGAAACTGACATAGTTAAACCAATACATACAAATACAATTAGGAAATCAAACAATTGTTCTTAAAAATCTGTACCATATCGTATCATCATCGTCGTATAAGTATCACATAAACGAACGACTCAGTCCAAAATAGTCATAAATAGGCATGTTACGTCATTTATATAAACAACAAACAACAAGGGCTCAAGTATTGAGCCCAGTGAAACACCATTTTTCACATTTTACTTGTTACCTCACAATTCCCTGTCACGCAACGAAGAGACAATAGTAAATAAGTCTTCATTCCTTTTATAGAGAGGTACTGCTGCAATTGCGGAAGTCTAAGAATTCGATATATACAATTGGACTTCACGTTATCGAGGAAATAGTTTCACGATGGTCTAATGGTTAATGGACACAAGATAAAATGGGTGTGCATTAGTTCTAGCCACAACAAAAGACCACAAAATACGCAATGGATTGATCACAATCGTACACATAATTATGTCAGCATGCAAATTTGCGACACTACTCCTGCACACCTGTTGATGTAATCGATAAGGGACCTCGGTTTGATAATTGATAAAAATTTTAAGTAGAACAAGCATATTAATTACGTAAGCGATAAACTATGCGCTATATTGGCAAAGTTCGTAAATGTTAAACTTCTATACTTGGTCTTTCTGAGTAGCTATGAAACATGTTAGTTACATCTTGATCCAATATACTGCACATGGAAATTGAAACTATTTTTTCCAATCTAAATCGCAGCACAAATCAATATTTCGGACTTTTTACAGCTGGCTCGATTTAGATATGAAAAATTCCTTAGGGCGCGTAACTCGTTAGGGCGCGTTCCCATTATGTCGTGACGTTTTATTTATCGTTGTACAACTGTCGTGTCTAACCTGTTCCCATATCACGACTGTCTGTCGTGACTGTGTCGTGGAAGTTTATTTTATCATTGAACGAGTGTCGTGTCTAGCTGTATCTGCTAGATCGTGATGACAATTTATCGGTGCACGTGCAGACATCGTTCAATAAAACATGACGACAATAGTAGCTGCGATTATCTGTCGTCACATTTTTATCGTGACGTTTCAGTCCGTGAATCTGTTAACGTCAAAAAAGTCGTGAACGACAGTTAATCGTGTTGTAGTATATGTGAACAACGTCATTTAAATAAATAATAAAAATAAAAATCATTTCGGCGACAATGACCCATATCAGAATTAATTACATTGAAATTTAATTAATAATTAGTGAAAATTAAAAAGACAATAAAAGGTTATAAAAATATAATAAAATTAAATTAAACTAAAGTCAAAATTCTAATTAAAATTACACGTACTACATAGTTTATTAATGTCCAAATCGATTACCTCCACAACCGGCACCATAGTGGGCATGCTTATCACAACAATGCCGAATATAGGGGCAATCTAACCTGCCAGCTATCATATAGCCAGGACGATATTGGGGCCCGCATCCTGCGCACCAGTGATGCACACCTTTGCGCATCGTTGTGTAGAAGCGATCAGTGCATGCCGCCGCGAACAAATATACATGACACGACCCTTTAAACTGCACGACTATCTGTCGTCACGGCATATGGTCGAAACGCAAAACTGCGAATTGGCGCGATGCGATTCCGGGTTCGGGTGATCATTCCTTCGAAGATCGTCAACGGCAGTAAACGTATTTCTTAAACTAGGCAGCGACAGGGATCCTTAAAAGAGTTTTGCACTGCTGTTATTGATAATGAAATATAGAAAATAAAAACACAAGATTAACACTTTTGTGTTTCGACCCATAATGGGAATGTGCCCTAACTTACAAATTTGACCTAAAAAACATACTTACACAATTCGCGTCAAAATTTCACGTTCCATGTTATGATGTAAATATTAATGCCGTAAGTGACGACATCTGAATAGAGATTTTAAGTTGGTTAGTGACCGTTGCATTTGACTGTACTCGGTCTAATAAAATTAGTGTAAGAATCGCAAAAACTTAAGAACTCAATTTAAAACTAATAACACGTACTAAAATTAATATAATTCTCGTCGGGGAAATCTTTTTCTTTCTACATTTTCAAATTTTCAAATTAAATACACAAAGCGCGATAAAAGTAACATCTGAAAGTACTGAACACAGCATAAAACAGTATATTTTAGAATAAACAATTGCAAAACCAAATAGAGGAAAGAAAAAGTACTTCCGTATGTTACGATACAAACGTAAATCATCGTTAAACCACATCGTCGCTTTGCACCAGGTGTATTTATTTCATTTTAACATATTTCTTTGGTTTGTTAAAAAAAAAAGACATGGTGTTCTGCATTTTGTAAAGTCGAGAATTAATCTTCCTACGTATCTGGTGCTTTCGCTATTTTTCTTTTCGTTTTATTGGCATGACAATCTGCGTTGTTAGAATACACTGTCAGATGGCGGTGAAGTTGTTACTTTTTCGTATATAAAGATATCGACTACAAAACACTCCGTGCTCAAAACATCAATGATCTAATCAGTATCCCTTTTTGCATATCCCGAATTTCTATCCTAAGGTTGCCTGGAAGAAATTGCTACATAGCAATAAGGCCGCCTGTTGTACATCAACTTAACTATTTTTCCACCTGAGTTACTGTTTTGTATTGTAACTGGTATGTGTAATAAAGGATATTTAATTCATTCATTAATTCGTCAACATTTTACGTTTTAGTGAGCTAACCACTCTGGTTAATAATTTAACCTAAATTGCATCTGCGCTGTATAGTTTCATGGTCACGAGTTAAATAATAGATAAATAGTATAATAGTTATATGTTGCTTCTCATTGACAGGTCTGGATTCCCTGTGTCGGCATGTACCTGCCTAGATTTTAATTTCTTAGTTAGGTACATTTGTGTTTGTTAGCCATATCTCGCGATGAAAGAGAACGAGATGAGAGAGAGTGGTTTTGTGTTTTTTACTTTTAACCCGCGCCCTAGAGAAACACGTTGTCCCTATTATTGTAATAAAAAAATTAAATTGTTTATAATTTTTTAAAATATTTTTTAAATAAAAAAAGATGATGGTTGAACACAGTTTGCACGCGTAACTAAAGGACGGTGCAGTACCAAAATTGTTAGGTGTCCCTATCTCTCGGATGAGTGATGGGCGTTAGAATAGTGTATAAAAATCTTTACTCTGTCTTTTTTGAAGATGGAGTAAAATGACAGTTCATTGTGCAAAAGTGTTGCCAGCTAGTGTTTGCAGTCGATAAATATTCCATCGATTATCGGCTGTATGTTGCTCACGCTTCTTCAATAAATATCCGAATTAGTTTCATTTGAAACATTATCGGCCTATTATTCGTCCCAACTGCTGGGCACAAGTTCATTTGATTTTTTCTTGAGTAAATGAATTGTCAATTTTTGTAAGTTCATACATACATACACTGCATTTGGAACTATGTCCATTAAAAATACGAAGGGAAGACGTATTTAAAAGTTTTTGATTTTTATTCAATATTAGTAATGAAATCCGTCTGTTCTTGTTCAAATGTATAATATGAATAAAATTGATTTCAATCCTAGTAGGTCAACTGTCAAAATAAGAAAAAAGAAAATAATAACGCAATTAGTAATCTTTAGAACGTGGCAACATTCGCGATTCCAACATTTTTGGTCAAATTTTACTCTCTCACAATTTATCGATAAAACTGTCGACAACAACTACATGACTATTTAAAATTTTATGAAACTGGCAACACAGGACAGGCGTATTACTAATAAATAAACTTAATTAACATTTTATTATATCTTTTCAGTGGCCGTACTGCGATGGTTCGCACGGCAAGCACAACAAGGACACGGGTGACAACGTAGGCCCTGTCGTCGTTAAACATAAAGAAAACAAGTAATCAAACTCCTATTGCCTTTCCCGTTATCGATTTGTTAAAGTACATAAACTTGTTACAGTACACAAATTTCTAAGTAGTTTGTTAATATAAAAGTTTGATAAGTTCGATTTTAATCTTGCGGAGTTATTAAGAGTTTTTAACTGAAAATGAATTGCCATGTCAATTGGCATCATTATTTCAAGGTCAATAACGTAACTTGACATTCTTTACAATAGTTTGTTCCGTTGAAATAAAAAAATATTTATTTATGCATAATTATCAGACATAATAGACAGTGTATTGACTGGAACTTCTAGAAAGAAAAAAAAATGCTGAAAAAGGTTGAATTATGATGACAACGTTCATATTAGACACTGGACACATATCGAAACGTTTAATCGAACTCAAAAGACGATTGAAGTAATTCTTTTTTCAAATCAAACGTTCAGCAGGGCTAAAAAGGCCGCATTGGCAGAGCCATAACATGATTAATTGACAATTCATATTATGAGTTTCTTACAATTCATATAACGCAATTCATCTACTTGATAGTGTCGTATGGACATTGTTATCGCAATTCAACATTTCCTTAGGGTTTTTTTTTGCGTTTGCTTAGAATTATATAATTAATTACAAAAGTTTTCTTCTAAGTTCTCTGCCGTTATAAAGTAATTGTGACAATACGCAACAACAATTCCGGGATTTCAGAAGGAGATATTATGCACTCTAATTATTACTTTCTTGAAATGCAGGTAAACAGAAATTGCCTACTTAATCTCTGGTAATTACATAAGATGTACTCAGAATAGGTAAAGTGAACTTGAAAGTCTCTCATTGTCTAGGAAAATCGAGATCAGGCAAATATATATAAGAATATATATAATAATAAGAATCTTTTTAAACATAGCCTTAAATTGATGTAGGATTTTCTGTATTCAAACTCTGTAGTTATGGGTAAACTGTTATTCTTCTAAAAACTCAAAAATAATGTATCAACGCTGCCCGCCACCGTTCTTTATGACATCTCCTTCACTCTCGTCATTCACTCTTCTCCTACAGTTACATTCTTAATTACTTAGTTATGGCTGCGTTCAGTGTACATTTTTCTATAGTGATAAGAATTTGATTAAACTTGTTACAGTTAATACAAAGATCAGACACAAAGAAATTCCTTCCATCTCACAAGACCCGGAAGACCTTAAGAATTTCTCTGCGTTTGTAACAGATCTTTTGTATTAGATTTTTTTCGACTTTTATCTTATTTTACCTGTATTTTTTAGTAAACATTTTGTATATAGTTATTGTGGGAGAAGTTCTAGACGATCAGGGCCTTTTTAGTTTGCTGTACACATTACCTCTGAAAGTAAATAAAGTAAAGTTGTTTAGTAAATAATAAGTATAATTTTTGAATATCACTTTTTTACATTTTGGTCGCTACTATACTTTTTAGAGTTGAATGAAGGTTTTTTTTTGTATATTTAACGGGTTCCTTGTCATAATAAACATACATACAAAGATTGTTTTGGAATTAACAAAACGTGTGGTGTGTGTGAAAATTAGTTACCTTGCAGTAATAAAAAGTAAAAAGTGAGAAATTTGTGATCGATCTAAGTTTAATCTAATTGTTTTAAATATGTATTCGTCATCTATATACAGGCAATAATATACTTATGTTTAGATTGTAAGCAAAAAATCTTTATTTGCATTTTTAAATTTTGTGACACTATTTATCAGTTTTTTTTGGAACGTTATATCCGTTACTGTTGTTTTAATTGCGTCGATCAAAAGGAATAAAGTTAGATTATTTTCTTAATAATCCTGTTTTATTATTAAAAATATCCCATATTGCCACTCTTGGCACTTGCGGTGTATTTGGTATTTTGTTGTAACTGAGTAAAACGTATGTCTACCATTTAGATATCCAGGGTGACAGGTTGAACGAGATAAATATTTAAAGAGGCGAAAGAGTAGCTGATACCCGCACCGAATATGTGAAGAAAACACTACCTTCCTTTTAAATAATAATAGTAATAACGCACACACTCAACATTGTCCCGCACTAGGGAAAACCCTGTGTCGCAGGTGCCATGGACACACACTTAGACAACCACAAATTACACCCAAACTCACGAGAGAAATAAATGTAGGCCATACAAATATTTCTCCCGTGGGACCTCTGCGTGGCAGTCCGGCGTGGTAACCGTTCGGCCGCGGAGTCAGTTATACTGTCTCAATATAAATGTCTCTTAACATTTTGTAAAATTCTGTGAAAGATCGAACATGCAGCGAGTGGCCTCTATCCTTACCGGCCTCGGTGCTCGCATTTCCACGGCTTTCACACAGTATTTGTAAAATGGCGCGACATTTTTTTCTTATGTTTAAGGACGATTCCCTTTACATATTCGGATTAGATATCGGCTACAAGTTTGCCTCTTTTAAGTATTTATCTAGTTCAACCTGTCACCCTGTAAATTGAAATCATTTTAAAGAGATTCAAAATAAATAGTATAGTCATAAATAACAATTAAGAAATTATAAATTACGTGGTTCAGTGCTAAGTCAAAGTCAAACAATCATTTATTCCATAGGTGAAATTTTTACATTTGATTGACGTCATTTTTTAACCTACTGCTCGTTAACTGCGCTGACCTCTCTGAAAAGAACGAGCAAGAAACTCTAGGGACTGCTCTTTTCAAATAAACTTAAATGCTATAGAATACATTTTCACTCATATTTGTGTGGAATCTAGACTCACGTTGTCTTTCCATACATCTTTATCCAACACGTAGTCTACAATTTTCCAATATGACTTTTCAATTAAAATACTTTTAAAGTAAGTTTTAAACTTAGGAAATGCATAATACGTGCTCCGGAATCTTATTGTAAAAACGTATACAGTTCCCCATAAAAGAATCGTTTACTTTAGTTAAACGAAAAAGCCCGCCTCTGACTGATCCGGGCGCAAAGGTGCCCATCACGCTTGCCGCATTAGCTCGCTGTATGCAATGGACAATTGCACCAAGAACAACCTGGCGCGGCAGTCATCGCCCCTCTCTCTTAGCGGCCATCCAATTTCCGCTACAATTCTTTTCGCATCGCTACCCCAACAACCGGCCGTCTCAACAGCAAGCGGAACAAAAGTGTAGCGACTTTCCAAATCTCGTTTCTTGCGAGCAGCGGACTCAGTCGCTGAAGTCACTGCACCACCGAGATGCGAAGCTGCAAATGTCCTAACACTTGACGCATCCCAAAGGAGACACCTACTACCTCTTTCCGTTTCAGGCATGATGCCGTGTAAATCTCCCTACATGATGGCCACTAGCCCCCACCGTGGCACCGCATTTGCATTGATGTTGTTCGCACACATTGCAGCCCAGGCGAAAAGCAACCGCCACACGAACAGAATCGATGTCGAGCAGTTCCCGGATGCGGAAGATGGTAGAGCATGGAGCCATGGGCCGGATTCAGGCTGAGAGACATTTTGCCTCACGCATCAACTTATAAGCTTCTGCAGAACACGTCGCCGAAGTTGGTCAAATTTCATAAAATGTTTTTCATGCAAAATTACTAAAATTGATTTTTTTTTAATGCTAATAAGACTCAGTTTCTATTAGGGACGATTTCATTGTATCGGAAGAGAAAATTGGGACATCTGAATTTAATAATTTCATACAAAAAATACATAATATATTATTTTATGTATGCAACACCAAAATTGTAAACCAAAAGTAGCAGAACCTACTGAAACACACAAAATTACTTAGCGGAATACTTGATACAGGCAAAATCCTAAAATTGTACCGCCAATAAATAAAAAGAAGAAGCCAAAGCACTATTAAGTAATCTCTGGTCAGTGTCTAATCCAAACCACTAACCATGGACTCTCGACAAGACGGGAATTCTTCACCATTTGACAAATAAATAAATAAGAACAGCGGCCTTACCTTGAGCTCTCATTACGACTCACTTTAGGATATAAAATGAATCGTTGTGAGACAGCGCTACATGAAGTGTATATCGCCATCCCGCTTTTTTGTCGTTCCGAACCTAAACTGTAATAAGAGTTCATGGTAAGGCCGCTGCACTTTATTCTTTCACAAAAAACCAACAGCTTCTTCAGCAAAATAAAACACATTGTTACTTAAAATATATAATTAATTGAAACATCCCTACCTTAAATCACATCACAGATTTATCTTGACTTCTAATATATATCTTTTATTATCCCAGACATTTTTAAACAATGTATAAAATTATTTTTATATAAACAAGACGCTCCTTTGTAACTTTTTAAAACTAAAAGAGTGGCTATAGTGGTGACTTAAAAAGTTAAAAGAACTTAGTTCTTTAAAATACAATCAGAATATACAAAACTTATACAGATGTTAATAAATAAAATATTGTTTACACAAGTGCAACAGTCCTATCTCTGACTCTACATCTGTTAGCATTTCTACACCTGAATAAACAATGCGTGATCTGTAAATTTCAGTGTGTGTTTTTTAACTATACAAGTGACTTATCTGTTCATAACTTACTTACCTATGGCACTAATATTTCATAAATTAGTTATTGCAAACTATAACCTCGACGTCACAATGGGAATAATTCTACAGATTGTAGATAAGTAAATAAAGAAAGTGATACACCAAATACATCTTTTGTTAGTTCTTAATCACAAACGCCAAACTTAGACTCAATTCACATCACCGCGGAAGGCAATGGTAGTGCATTTTTGTAACGAAATTGCACATATTATAATAAACAAAGTAGATACAATACGGCAGCTGCAGGAATTTGTGAGACAACGCGAGTTATCCGGAAGACTCGGGACCAGAGATGGCGCTTGGGTTTTAACCCTGGGCTTTGATAACGCCGGGTTTAAATAGAAGAACTATTTACAACTTAATGTTTCTCGTAAATCTAGGTTTGTTAAATTTTAAACATTTTGTAATATTATTATTAGAAAATGTGTATTGCTTTCCGATCTAGACGATTAGAATTGTCTTCGTATGAATCAATTTGCTTGAAAATAGCATTGATCGATGTAAAAAGTCGTTAGATTGTATTCAATTCGATCGGCGCTTTGAGTTAAAACCTGGGCGGGTTGTTTGGGTTTTAACCCACTGCCCATCTCTGTTCACCACCTATGTTTTTTACTTTCGCGTTTATTCCCTTTTCCGGTATTATAAAACTTTTCGCTACTCCATTCACAGCTATTTTTTGACGCCCTTTTATACTTGTTAATTTAGACCAAATGCGATCTCACGTTAAGTATTAAAAAAATATAAATATTATAATGAAAATTATTTTAAAAACCTTAACTAAATAATGAATAGGTTCATGACTAATAAAGGCGAATAATACTTATCTATCGTATCTAGGTGGTCTCGGTGGTCTCGGGTTCGATTACCGGTAGGACCAATTAGGGGAAATTAACTTTTCTAAAATTGTTCTAATCTGCGTAGGGTAGTGAATGAAAGTAAATTTCTTTATTTTGGTACTCGTAGTACTTAAATGGAATTACAGGCCTACCGCATAACTGAGTCAGTTCCCGAGGTAGGAGCACGGTGCGGGAGAAGTGACAGTTTACGTATTAGTTATGTCGTACTGCATTTTCCTGAAGATATTATGGTTAACATCGTGAAATTCAATAAAAATACACAATAATAATGTTTATACAAAACCTGCAACTTACTTTTCTTGACACATCTAGTTATTGCCGATCTGTGTAGACATGCACGAACGTACAATACTCTTGCCTATTATGTTATGTTGGTTGAGTCAAAACTACCCACCTCTGAAGAAATTCATATTTGTATTACATAGATTTTATGCATTTACGACGTACTATATTTATAGGTTATGTAATGTTACTATATTTAAGTTGTGAACGTATTAGATTCTTAAAACGCAATATTCAATAACAAGTTGTTTGAAAACCGTGTCTAATGACTTGTCTAATCATTACAATAATTATGAGTGAAATGGTTTTTTTCATTGTCGTTTCACGTAACAACCATTGACTAATTTGGTGGCATTGACTTACAAATAAATGGACGACGGGTCTAATACAAAAAACCACGAAAAAAAATGTCCCAAGTCAACCTATTCGAAATTTAAATTGTAATGTCATCGCAGTATCGCGCTGTCAGTCGAACAAATGAAGACTAAAGCGGAGTTTGGCGCTCTGTATACGATTTTAGCGCCTTACAAGCGCGGACACTTTTTAGCGCGGACCCGACGTCCATATAATTGTAAATCAATGTTTGGTGGGCACGTTTTTTCAATCAACTTGTTATTGAATAACGTCCGAAAAATCTTGTTCAAATTATCCCGTGTACAACATGACTGTTACGTAAACTATCTATCCTCCCGCATCGCGCAGCTACCTCAGGAACAGACTCGGTTAAGCGGTAGTCCTGTTCCTAATTTGATACCATGTAATTGTTTACCATATTATCATTACTCATGCTTTTTTTAATAACAAATGCAATTAGAAATTAGTAGCGCTATGATGTTATTTTTGTTATTATTCTGAGGAAACT